ACAGCTAAATAAAAACCAGCCAGGGCATAAGCTGGCTTGAAGGCTGCAGTACATGCACTTACCCTGCATTTGAATCCTCACACTGCTCGACCAGTGCCACTGGTGGGATCTTGCTTCGCAATAAATCTGTGTAGTTCACGTTGTTTCTCACTCAAGTTTTCCTTTGGATATTTCAAAGAAACAAGTCCAAAGCCTTGCAAAAGTTTTGGGAGTTGAAGGCAAGGTATAGTCAGGTGCTCTCTTTCCCCAACTTTTTTTTTTCTTCCAACTTTTGAAGTGAACACAAAGGTTTGCCAAGAGCTGATGCTCTGGGCTCCAGTATTCCTTTGTCTACCTGCACTCTGAATTATAGATTGAGTGTGATATAGTCAGAAGATAAGAAAACAAGTCAAAACATCTGAGTCAAGCAGGTTACTGAGCTCAGGCAGTGGTCTTGTATTCATAATCCTTTGAGGAGAAAGTCTCTTGAACACGTCTGAGTTTCAAATCCAGCAGTAACTCTAAGTCCAGTGCTACCTCTAATTACAACACGTATATAAACAATGTGGAATTTAATCAGTGCCTTTGAGAAGGCTGGCAACCAGGTCTCAGCCTCAAGCTCACAGATACAAGCAGCTCAACTTCCCAACAATCAGCAACTGACTGAAGGGGCTGTTCAGCAGGTCACATCCCTGCATTCACTGCCCTGTGGGAAAGAGTTTGAAGGGGACTTGGAGCATCTGCTTAGCATAGCTGAACTTGGTGCAGCCACTGGTACATTCCTGGAATAATCTTCCCATTTAAGAATTAAACACACAAAAAGGTGTCTCCCCAGTTACAGGCTGATTGCCATGTGGGAACTGAGAAGTGCTTGATTACCTCCTTGTTGAACAGGGACTAGCTTGGTCTTGATCATATGGCCGTTACGTGGGAGATATCCCCTTATGCCTCCTGCAGGCATTGGAAGGTGAGACCCTGAAGACTGAGGAGAAATCACAGTGCAAGGTAAATGCCTGTGCGGGGCAGGTTGGTGCAAGCTAGAGGTGCTCACTGCATTAAGAAGCTTTTCTCATGGCCCCTTCAGGACCTAAATTAAAACAAAGCAATCTTTAAACAGGGAAACAGCAAAATTTGTTTCACTGCTCTTGCAGCTACAGGGTTGAATTTGGAGGAGTACAATGGGGCCTTTTTCATGTTCCTGGTATTCTGGAGCCTTCATGTTGAATTGAAAGAGAAATTTTTCTTCCTCCAAGTTTGCCTTCGTGAATGCAAAGCTATTGCATTAGGTTGATGAGTACTCTCTTCATTCATAGTGACTAGGATTTGGGATTTTTAAATTAAGAAATTATTTAAAACAAATTACTGGCAAGATGATGGGAAATTTAATTGAAGTTGTTTGCAATTATTCCTGCCAAGCTAACTGTCACAAGATTGGTTAGGTTTGGGTTGCAACAGTTTTAATTATTGATTTTTCCAGTTTTCTGTATGAGCTATGTCATTTTTTTTGCTCCCCACACTTCTTGCTTTTTTAGCTACATCCCTCTTTTATGTGGTACTGTATCTTTAATTTGGGTGACATTAGATTACACCAACTGGACTTTCTCTCTCAGCTGGGGTTTCATTCCTCGATACTTACACAACAGTTGGACCACACTCTTGTGCAGTCCCAATTCAAATACGCTTTAAAGGTGAACACAGCCTCATATGCTGACATTAATGATGTTCATGCCTAAGCAAACCACTCCAACCACATTTTCCATCTTAGGCAGGATACTAAGATTCATTTTAGCCAGGGCATATATGCATCTTGCCATGTCTATGTAACTTAGAGAGTGGATTTACTTCAGATGCGTGCTCATTTAGAGATATATTTTAATGAAATGTTTAGTGCTTTATCTTACATGCATACTGTGCAATACCATAGTGTGTTGTTTTCCTTTTTTTTTTTTTTCCTAAGACTTCATTGAAATTCTTAATGTTTCTTTGAACTCCAATGTGTTTTTGACTTGGCTCAGTTCTGGTAGTAGGAACGCATTTTCCTTGCCTTGAGCTAACCAGAAGCAGCAGCAGCACATTGCACAACTGACAGTCGCTGCAGTTTGTGCACCCTGATGTTCACCAGCAATCTGGTACTCCGGGGGAGGTGGAGAATGCTTCTCTCCAGAGTATCCAACCTGCACTTACTGTAAAGAATCGATAGTGACCCAGGGAAATAAGAAAAAAATAGAAGAACCCTCGTCTGCTCCCACCAAACTCCACAATAATTTTGCCATCACCTTCCACAGGAACAGGGACAGGCTGTAAAAATCAGATCCAATTCTGCAGGTAGCATGAACGGGTGCTGCTTTCAGAGGAGCCGAGCTTATGGCTCACAGGTGGCTTTCTGAAAGTTTGGCGCTGGGATTCAGGTTCAGTCCCAGTCCCTGCAATGAACTATTTTAATGTAAGAACCTAACCACTGTGACAAAGGCTTCCAAAAGACATTCAGCCTCGGGAATTACTTCTCAATACAATTTAGTGGAAATTCATTCTCTTCCATGTTTACAGCTTCTGTGTTATTTGAGACTACATTCCATTCTGGTGTTTGTTGGTATAGGGTTTAAACTACTTGCCGTTTCTGTGATTGCTTTGAAACCAAGCAATTCAAAGGTGCTATAATTGTCCACAAAGCACATTCCCACCCATAGAAGGAAATGTTAACTTTTTCACTAGTTATTTTACACAGTATTTTTTTATTTATATCAGTGTGTTTTGTATGTGTGCAAACGGTCCCAGCTTCTCCCATTGTAATAAGCTATACATCCATTTGGTCGTTACGCCATATGCAGCATTCTGCAGTCGTGTACGTTCTGAATTAGGGCAAGAATAACTTTCTTCTGACACGATGAATTCATTTATGGCAGGCTCTAATGTTTGTTGTAAACACAACCTGTTTGTTCCACCTCTTGCATGGTTACTTATCTGTTTTCATATTGCTATGTTATTGTTCAAGATATCTATTTCTCTTTATTTGCTATGGGTTTTGTTACTGTATATGGAATGTTTTGTATTCAGCATTTTCTTACAGAGCAGAGTGGGAACAGTATTCAAGAACCCACAAATACCAAAGACCTTTCATGTAATGCACTGAGAAATAAACATACTGTAAATGAATACGATGTCAGGTGTCCTGTATTTACGGCGTTCACAGCAAGTTCAAGTGAACTGCATCCTGGGGCTGCAGGGGGAACAGGAGAAACAGCCAGAGAGAGTACAGTGCTTAGGAGCAGGCATTAAAAATATGTTGTTACTTGCAACTTGCCTCCCTTCCTTGTTTTCTTACAGTTCAAGGAATTCGAATTGTTGAATTTAAGAGCAACAGCTGCCCTCCTCCGCCTCCCTGCAGCCCTCTGGTACCTACTGGGCATCGGCCTCCTCCATCACCAGCTGCTTTTGCTTTTCTGCTGTCTCTGAATTTGCCTCTGGGTTCATTCAGGCACGCGCACACAGATGCACACACACCCCAGACTCTTCACCTCATGTGACCGTCAGTCAAAGATGTGGTTGGGAACTTTTTTAAAATGCTTCCTACTCTGGGAACAGCTACCCATTTAGATGCAAGTCCCTGGCTGGCTGCACAGGGACGGTTTCCCCTGTGAGCGAAGGACCTGGGCTGTGTCTGTCAGAGGTGACAGGTCTGGTTTCTGAACTTGTTTTTGCATCCTAAAGAAAACAAGATGCATAAATTGCAGCTAATTTGTTTCCCTACTGATCAGATTACACTGTAGATATGCAGATGCCAATCCTGTAGCAAAAGCTAAGTCTTGTAAACAGTGGGAAATGCCCACGGAGTCAAGGCCTCCACCTCATGCAGGGTATTTTTGCAACACAGCTGAGGACATGCTCAAGGTAACCTGATGCCAGACATTCCCATACAGTGCTTCCCTGGGTTATAATACCCGTGTGTATTATAAAGGAAGAGTAAGTAGGGAGCTTGCATGACTGATTGCCTTTGCTACCTCTCTCAGGATACTGTATACCCAGTCCAGAAAAACAAAAGGTGACAAGTTGGTTCAAAAACAGATTGGAAGATACCTGACTAGACTTCAGGAAATAATCTGCTTGGCTTTAAAGAAAGACTGGCAGCTGATGAGGCCCAACTTAGCTACCTCTGTGACTCTGTGCAAGAGTTGGAAAGTGACCAACAGCTGTGCCAGAGTTTTGCCCCCCATTTCAGGATAAGATCAAGCACCCTTAGACAAACCCAATCCCATTTTTTTGATCCACATGACACACTGGATAGCACACAGCCTTTACAGTGTAGTAAGGCAAAGGCGTATTGGCCGCTGTCTGGCAGATAACACACAGCAGTCCATCCGCTCCTTTATCAATGCCAGTGATTAACTACTGCAACAATTTGCCAAAGGCTGTGCTAGTGCCTTTACTACTAGACATTTTCAAATTAAGTGGATTTTCGCCTCTTAAATGTGCAATCATGTGTGTACAGTCCAACTCAGAGAATGAATTCATGGAAGCCATACTGGAGGACCAAAAAGTCAGAGCTGGTGCCTGTGACATTACAAATGCCTGGTCTTGAGCCTGCCTGTGTTTTTCACAATGTGGCAAAGCACTGGCTAAATCTGCTGCTGTTTCACCATCTATACAAAGTCATTAGTGCACGCACGTGAGATCTTTTTGTAGCTTCATACTAAAAGCTGAATGCCCTGAGTGCATCTCTAGGACATGCAGCCTTTGCACAGCCCCCAGAGAGGTCTAGGCTATGATGGGCCAGGGCTGTCCAGGATGGAGAACACCTGGCATCACTATTTTGGGCTGAGACTGGCCACGTACCAAGATAAGCTGGAGGTGTCCCACTGATCCCACGCTACCAGGGTGGAAGGGAAAGGCTGAGTCAGAAAGCCCAGAACTGGCCCGTACATAGCATCAGTGTGTCTGGGGCAGCGCTTGTGTGACTGTGCCAACAAAAACCTGGCTTACTGGTTGGAGTTAATGTTCAGCCAGTTACACTTTGTGAAGGTTAAACTTCAGACTTCGTTCAGAAAACACACAGGGATCAACAGCGCACGATAGGATCTTGGCCGCAATCTTCTCTGTACTCCTCAACCACAAAAATGTCTTCAGAAACGGATAGAGCCCAGGTCTACCTGGTGACAGGAGGATGTGGTTTTATTGGTGAAAAGATTGTAGAGCTCCTGTCTCAACAAGACTACATCAAAGAGGTCAGAGTTTTTGATTCAGGAGCAAGAGAAGAAGAAAAATTCATCCCAGGTAAGGCAAGGGCATCATCTTGTATTTAGCAGCCATAACCCTCCCTCTTTCAAGACAGCGGGTATTTTACTGGAGATGCCAGTTACGGGGAAGGAACCTGGATTAAGCAGCCTGCATGGAGCATAACTTCCAGCTTGGGGGGGTGGGGAGGGGAGCGGGTTCAGCACTGCACCACATCAAAGCAAAATGCTCCACAGGGAGCAGCAGCAGTCGGTCTATCACAGGGAGGAGACGAGTCCCCACAAAGTACCAGCTGTAAGAAGAAACACTCCCTGGGGACCTCACACAGGATCTTGGCTGCCCAGTTGGTTCTGCTCACCCACTCAAACCCCCATGCTCCTGACCTGCTCCAACCAGTTAGCAATTCTGACACGACAACCAAATACCTTACAATAATAGAATCAGTGCTCAGAAGCTCAGTGTCTGCTAGAGATACCGTGAAATAAATTAATAATTGAGAGAAACCTATAGTCTGACTGTGCTGTGCAAAAAGTGGAAGAGGTGAGGCTCAGTAAATATGCTCCAAGATACTAAATTAATCCATTTGATCATATCCTGAGTGCTGCCTTCTGAAGTTTCAGCAGGGCTGATTACAGTGAGATACGCTGGGGAAAAGCAACCCGTTTTACTGGATCTGAGAGCATCCACCCCAAACAAGCCAACACAGCTCACAGTTCTCTGCAGTTGGTGGTGGGCTGCCCAAACCCTCAGCCTGCTTTGAATGAGACAAAAAAAAAAAAGTGACATGGGAGCTCCTATCTGATAAGAGGTATTGATAAGGAGGAGAGGGACTTCAGCAAGTTAAAAGATTCTCAGGGAAACGTCACTATCAGAAGTACTTCCTCCACAGACGAAATCACCATACTGCTTTCCTCGGGCTTCATGTAGCCAGTTGCATTAAAATTACCCAAAACTGAAGGGGAAAGCTGTTTAACCATTAAGGAGCTCCCATAATCCCTGCCTTTAGCCCTTAGGCTAAAAGGGCTGATATTCCTTCTCCGTGGTTCACCGTTTTGTATCTCTGGGCACTGCTCTCTTCTGGAGAGGTGGCACCAAGGGCAAGACAGAAGCCAGGAGTTTTCTTCTGTCCCACAATCTATTCCCCGTTTATGCCTGTCGATACAATTATGCCTTTTGCCCAGCTGCATGACTGTGGCAATAGGCAATCAAGCCCAACCTAACCCTTTCATGAATTGGGTTGGGCCCGCTGCCTCTTCCCTACTAAGCCCAGTATCTGCTCTTTGTCCCTATCATATTTTCATATTTCACCCTTATTTTTTTTTTTTCCTTCAGACTCCATTAGTTACAATCAGCTTGTACTCTAATCCTCCAGCGTACTTTGAGTCCCTCCCAGTTTGATGTTATCTGCTGATTTAATGAACAAATACTGCCAGGTTCTTGATGAAAACAATAAAAAGACCCAAATACAGCAATAAGCACTGGAGAGCCTCAGGGCAGCCACCTCCCACAGCTGGCAGCTCCCTGGGAGCTGTAACTCAGCCAGCTTTGTGCTCACCCTCGTGTGGCTTGCTTAGACCACGTTTGACTGACTTGCGTATGAGAATGACACAGAGTTTCCAAAGCCCTTCTAAAATCAAGATAGATGACGTTGACCTGTTCCACTACATCCACACAGCCTGCTAGCTTGTCATAAGAACAAAGGAGATTTATCTGACATGATTCATTCTTGCCAGATCTGTGTCACTTGCTACTGTTCTCCAGGTTATCCCACTGGTGCTTACACACATGTTGTTTAAGTCCTGAAATTCCTCATGTTGAAGTTAAGCTGTTCCATAATTCCCTGGCTCTTCTTTACCTCCTTTCTAAGCACAGGTGTTTCATTTGTTCTATTTCAACACCTCCTCCAAAAGTCCTCCAAACTATCTGATAGAGCAATAAAGCTTGCAATTACACCCAGTTACCCCATTAGCAGTCCCAGATAACACTCACCAGTGTTATCAATTTGAAAATTTCTCTTGGTGCTTGCCACCTCCCTCCTTACAGCTGAGCTCTTGTTGGTCTCTCCTTGGTCTTAATTGCACCAGCTGCCCTAAGACAGTGATTAGAAAGGAGCTATATAACACTTCAGCCCAACTTGTAGCAGGCTTTTCCTCAATGGCTAAGTAGAAGCAAGCTGCCCCCACCATGAGGCTGCTGACTCTACCCTTCAGCACCAGCACAGCCTTTCAGCAGGAGCATCTTCCTCTGCTCTCCAGGCAAGCATATCCTCTCTGCTATATGGGCAATATCTTCCTTCTCTTCCCCTCTATTTGTGCTGAATTTAATATCTCTGTTAATATTAAATATCCTACTGCTATGGGCTTAATTCACCAAATTTTGGTGATGCTACTTAAGAAATCATCTTAATGCTTTTGTTAAACTTCTGCCTTTCCCTATGTCCTATGCTTCTAGGCAAATGCAAACCTAGCATCCTCAGTTTTCTACCCTCCTTTGAATTGACAAGATCTTTTATCCCCTTGTACTTACAGTAGTTCACTGAGGGTTTCCAGGTCATAACACTTCTATAGCTGGAGTCACACACTGTTCCCTGAGCTGGTCCTGTGCTTGATCCTTCAGAAATCACTACCCTGATTCCTGGCTGTGTGGGGCTCTGCTGGAAGCCCCCAGCCCAGGGCAGAGGAGACACCTTTGCCCCAAGGCAGCCCTGTGGCTGCCTGCCTTGTTACAAAAGTCCTGGGGAGCACAGCTTCCTGACCCAGCTTCTTGCTGGCCTATTCCCAACCACAGAAAAAGGGAAAAATCCCACTGAGATGTTACAACACCATCTCAAAGCATGAAAACTAGTAGTAGATGCCAACAATAGCTGTGTATGGAGCAGCTATTTTGAGAGACAAGGAGAAGGAAAAAACAACAAACCAGCTTTCTGAATGGCTCAAAGAGAGGAATTCCCTATGAAACTTCATCTGACCTGTTACATTATTTTCCACTCCCACCTATACTATCTGCAATTTAAATAAAGCTTTGTGCAATGTCCCTCAAGCTTGCTTGGTGTTATTCCCACCACACTCTAGAAGTTTTCTGCCTTCAGGAAATTGTGTGGGACAGCCTCCCCGTTCACATGTCCAGCAGCCAGTCCCGCTGCCAGCTGCAGCTCCGGGCCAGCCGTCTCCCAGCCTCGCTCAGCTCTGTCCTTGTCTGCATGTAAGAGATGTGCAATGACAGCTGCAGTTATTCTGACACGCAGTTGGTGCAAACTGGCAAAGTGCTGTGCTGAATTAAACCAGATGCAGATCTGGTTTCTTGGGGTTCAGAAAGCGGGGATGTATTTTTCCCTGGTGTGATGTATTCAAATGGCAGAGTTGTCGGCGTGCTGCTGCTTGCCCTGCAGAGAGGAAAGCTTTCCAAGTAGGATCTTCATCCTGCAAGAAGGTGAGGATGCTGTTTTGTATTTTTTCCCCCCTGCATTTATGCTTATATTATTCTTCTCCAGCTACCACTCATGTGACAGTGATGAAAGGAGACATTCGAGACTACAATCTGCTCCTTGCTGCCATGCGGGGTGTTCACGTGGTTATTCACACAGCTGCTATTGTGGACTACAGAAACACTGTGCCCTTCTGGGAAATGAAAGCTGTCAACGTTGGGGGTAAGCTCTTTAAAACAGGCAATTAAATACAGACTTAAATTCACACGCCTTGGTGTGGAGTCATACAAGAGGCTACAACATATGTATCCGCTCTGACTTCGTGCTCCTGTGTCCCCTGAATGCCACAAGCACCACTCTGCTGTGAGATGAGAAAGGTGCACTTCCAGCAGGGGGGTTTCTGCTTTTTCCCTCTGTTGCTCAGGGCAGGCTGTGCTGCTCCTCTGCACAGCTGTAAAGCTAAATCTAATGAAGTCAGATGTGGAGCCAGATACTGTGTAAGTTATTCTAATCAGGGGTATAACTTTCACTAGTAATACTGATTCAGAACATACTAAACAGTTTCTTCTCACTACAGGTATGTGAGAAAGACAGCGATCAAAAATTAACCCCTGTTCTAAATACTTTGTGGCTTCCCTGGGGGTCAGAAAATAGTCTTGCACAGGTGGGGGTACAGGGTAGCTATCAGTTGAGCTGCATCCATGCTATAAGGGAGTGATGTTATTTTTAATAGTCACAGAGGTTGCAACTATTACATATCTACAAGCCACACACAGCCAAGATCTCCATGACTCTTTCTATCACCAAGAGCTGATTTCATGTTAGGTGCAAGATCTGCTTAAAGAAAACTTGATCATAAATCTGTGAAATAAGTATGGGCTATAAAGATAATGAAATCCCTATTACAGCAGCAATTCCAATGGCACCTCAGGCTGTTAGCTACTAGAATAGCTGTTAACCACAAGGAAACAATTTTACAGATATATGTGTATATACACATACATACTGTATATACATGCATGCACACATCTCACTTGGTTACTGCTTAGGGCTACTCCTACTTTCTGATATATTCAAGGGCAACATTTAAATTCCATCCATTCATTGCTGTAGTTGTTTTCAAAACCAGATGCTTTTAAGAGCCTGTATTGTGTGTGTGTACCAAGAATACCCAGAGCCTGAGGGTTCCTGCTGCCTTTTAATGGCTGAGATCTTCCTCCTCATTGTCTGCTTGCTATGAGCAAGGTATTTTAGTGCACTGAGGTTTCCACTGATAACAGTGAACTCGGGCAACTCCCCTGTTCAGCAAACCAAACCTCTGTCAGATATTTCTGACAGCACCAGAACACCGCACAGCCCGTGTTTCTGCAACGTGACTGGTGGCTGAGCGCCTCTTCGGGAGCAGTTGGAGGCGGCTCAGCAGGAGCCTCACCTGCAGCTGATCTGTTCTGCACTTGTGCCTTCCCTTGGATAGCTTCATGTGGGCCTCCCCAAACTCAGGCTGCGGCCTCCACTAGGACTGCTCAGAGTCTTAAATGCAGAGATTAGCCTGAACTTTTCCATTAATCGTAGCAGGTAAAAGAATAAAACTGAATTGTGTTTGACACCTACTGTAAACTTCATAGAAGGGGGGAAAAAAGTCAGGACAGGTCAACTACATTATCTTAGCTGGCTCCTCTGTGCAGCTCAGGCCACAGAAATTCATCCAATTACTGCCTTAAGCCCAATAATTTGTGGCTAAATTGGCTATGCCTTTTCAAAGGACTTTTGCCTAGAATTAAGGACAGCAAGTTAATGGGCTATCTATCAAGTCTTTCAGCAAGCCATAACGATGCTTAGGAGTATTAGTGTGGCTACCGCTAATTACTAGTGCTGGCAAAAATTTACACCTTTGTTCTGCTTTGTTCCTTCTCTGTTTCAACCACTGGTTTCTGAATCGTGTTACAGTCTTGACTAGACTGAGGAGCCCTCTCTTACAAGAATTGCTTTTTCCATCTAGTCAGTCTCTTTAATCTGTTTTTTGTTAAGCTGAATGGATTTTAACTTATCTGTTTCCAGTGATATTTATCTACAGGGGTTCTCAGTAAACTTTGTATAGTGACAGGCCAATGAATAAGTAAATTGTTTTCTACCAGGTCTTCATATTGACTCATGCTCTCTGAAATTATCCTAAACTCAGGATTTCCTTGATAATTTAAGATCATGCCTTTAAGAACAAGAATAGAAATTGCAAGCCCTCCTGAGCAAGATCCGCAGCACGGCTCAAGGGCAGATCCTGATTAGCCAGGTATGAATAGTGCAGAGACTTCCCGAAACCAACTCTATCGGCAGCTTCCTTTAAGATCTGCCTTATCAGATTTGAAGGCCCATCAATATGCATCCATGGGTTTGTTGTTGTCATTCAGGCTATTGTAGAATCAGCTTGATTGAATCATAATTGCAAAACCCTCCCTGGAAGAGTTGCAAATCACTTAAGAGAAAAAAAAAAAAAGAAAAAAAAAAACACAAAACCACACACTGACCCACAAGTTCAGCCAGAAGAAGCATAGATGCTGCCCTCAGTACTAGTTAACCTGACTGCTGTCTGGTTACCACACTACCTGAAGCAAACCAGTTACAGCTTTCGCTCAAGTAGCAAATTCTCAGCTCTTTTAAGTTGAAAAACCAAGACACAAGTCACTAGGTTGTCCATAACATGTGCAAACTAATGACACTCGGAACATTGCAAGCTAAGATCAATGCTGGATTTTACTATTTTTACTGTCAAATCTGTCCTTATTCCCCTAGACAGATACTGTTCCTATATTCCTAAAAAGGAATAAATACTTTATCTGAACAAAGATGACAAAAAAAGGGGGGCTTTTTGGTACCAAATTGCTCTGTTGCTTCCTTGTTTCACATGGGAGACTCAGCCTAGGACTGTATGAAATGTATTATGAGATTTCTGCCCATGGTTTTCTTGAACCAAACCATGCTTCAGTTTCATCTGGATTTCATGTGGACTTGTAAGCTGCACTTACTATTTTATTTAATGTTTTGTAGCTACCAGGAGGAGTCTGTTGCAATGTTTTTTCACCCTACAGTCACTTCCATAGAGCAGTATACATGTATGCAACTAAAACACCAATTATTTTGCCAGAAGGCTGCAATTCACCATTTGACAGTCTGTTCATGTATCAAAAAAAGATGGACAACATGGAATTTTGCTCTGCCAAGCTGTCAGCTTCTTTTTTTAACAACTATTAAGTCAAAGTTATGTCAGATGCTAATAGCCATAGAGATTAAGCCACTTTATAGCTAAAGATGTAGCTGTGGCTCTCATGTTATAAAACATCCATACCGGTGCAAATGTACCTGAGGAGCAGCAACCTTGACCTATGGCTTTACATTTTTTTGGCCATGAAAAGGATGGATCTAGTCCAAGTCAGAGTCTCAAGTCTGGAAATCTCATTTGACTTGCATAACAGAAACCAAAGCAAGGCAGATGATGTTTGTCCTCAGGTACTGAAAACGTGTTAAGGGCCTGCTGTGTCCTGAACATCCCATATGTTGTCTACACAAGCTCCATCGCTGCGGTGGGACCTAACACCTTGTGTGAGCCCATGTGCAGGTAAGGCCAAACAAATCTTTTGAATCACTCCGGATTTCCAGTTAAACAGCAACGAAGCTGCAAACAGCTGAAGAATTTTGCTGTGTCTCCAAAGGACAACATGTGTTCTTCTTCCTCTTGATTCTTTTACTCCTCCTTAGAAATCCCTCTTTGCTCTTCATCTTCAAGAATCACAGCCCTTCCCAGCCAAAACTTGACCAGAAAGTTGACTGAGAGATGTAGGACCCAGCTGCACCTCCAGGCTGTCCTCCATGTGCTATGGACCTGCTCCTCTAAGCCCTAAAATCAGTTTTGGTATTAGATCTGAGCTGCTCAGGGTTTGACAAGCTTGAGTTTCACCCTGCTATTGGGTCTGAGTTTTCACTCACTTCACACTGAGTTGACCCAAAGGGCAGGTGTTCTGTCACCAACCCACTTTCCTCTTTTTCAGCTCCACAGTGAATTGCTAGTGAACCTGCACCAAGCTCCTAGTAACAAGAGATCAAATGCATATGGACTATTTCAGCATGACCTCAGAGGGAGGGTACTTTGTTAACATAGTCTTGGGCCACAGCTGCATTTGGTGTGCAATTGCAGTGTTCTTGTGTAGCTGCACTCTCTGTGACCAGGCTCTGACCTGGTAATGGCACCCTATCCCTCAAAATACCTTTCCCTGGGAGGCGTTTGCCAGGGTTAACTCCTGGACTTTCTGCTTTTTGATACATGCTAAACCCACCTCTTCTGCATGTGGCTCCTTCAAGACTAACCCACAGACTCAGAGGATGTAGTAGAGCTTAGAAGCCCTCCTGGGGCAAAAGGTGGGATTTGGAACAATGTGAAGATGCCAATATTGGGGTGGGTATTTTTTTTTTCTCTTTGATATCCAGAATAGCCTTTCACAACCAGCTGACATTCCTGCTCAGGATCTGGGTACCTCTTGTATTCATGGGGCACGAGGACTTGCACCTTGAACTGGGCTGATATTACTGAAGACCAAGAGCTGAAGCCACATTACATTTGAAGGCAGGTGGAGATAGGGGCAAGTCTGATACACACCATTGTAAGGCTGTTTGCTGATTTCAAGCACAGTTGTATCTATACAGACTGCTCAAACCATGGAAACTTGTGTGCAAGGGGAACTGGCTCAAAACCAAGTTTTGTCTCTACAGGCAGCCAGTCTAGACACAGCTGGCTTCAGTCTCTTGGCTCTAGAAATTTGAGCCTAGCTAGAAAAGGCTGCTTAAGACATAACTTAAAATGACCTACAAGCCTAAATTTCATACTTGCAAGTAAACTAAGGCATAACCCAGTTCTGAACAGCATTTAAGCACCCAAATCCATAGAAATAAATGTCTTATGGAAAAAAAATCCCCGAGAGCAGGAAACCTCAACCCACTTGGGAGCATGAGTACAAAATGATCTGGTGTTATTGAAAGGCTATGGAATTTGGTCATTAACATATCTAAATCACTTCTAAAAATGAATGTATGTCCTTGTTTGAATTTTTAGCCCTGTGATTTGAGAAATCTACCCCAAATCTTGCTTGAGAGGACAGTCCTTGGCCTTGTAATGATGCCCAAGTAATGATACCCATCCACACTGAGGTTCATTCACGGAGCTGACCATCCTCTCAACTCCCAATCCTTCCCTGTCACAAACACAAATAAAATCACCTGCCTTTATCTCATTTTACAGAACACATTCACGTTTTCCCATCGTGCTGGGAGAAAGCCTGCTTTTGAGAGTGGTTCTTGTTCTCTGATGATTTTCACCTTAAGCTCCTGGAATTAAAGTGGGAGAAGAGGCACCCACATAAAAATTACGCCACTTGTCCCACTAGGGAACCCAGTGATGACTGCAAGGCAATGTAATATGTCCATGTCCAGACTGAAAGCACAGGTGCTGTTTCCCCATCCCCACCCAATCTGTTCTGCTCTTTTCCCTCTCAGAGCATGATCCAGCCTGCCTTACTTCCTTTTTCTCTTTCTCTGTCCCCTTTCTCTCTCGTTCCTTGTATAATTTTATTTAACTCACTTTTACATGCTGGGGAATTGACACAGACAAAGGATGATTAGTGTCTGGACAGGGTGATGGGTGCAGGGATAATGCTCACACCTCAGCATCCTACAATAATAGAAAATGCCTCTGTCAGTCTCAATCCCTCTGAGACAGCCACCGCTGAGATACCTTCTGACAATGCTGCTCCAGTCTTATTAGCGTTCAGTTATCTGTGATCGTTTTGAAAAGCAAGAGCATTATGCTGAGCTCTTTGTTACTACTAAGCTTCAAAAGGGGTGGGGGAAGGCAAATACGAGCAGAGCTCTGCAGCCCAGGAATGACAGGCAGGTTGCCCCTTGGTGAAGCTGCTGCTTTTTAAAAGCTTTGCAAGGCAAAAAATAAATTCAGATATAAAAAGAAAGCAATTAAAACTAGAACTTCTAGATAACCCCTCTAATTGTCTTGAGCCTCTCCTGGGGTCACAACAAACCGCGCACAATCAATCTTTTGTCGTGCTTGTTTTCTGGTTTGTCTCCTGCTCATCACCCGTAAACACAGGGAAGAGGAGGAGGGCTTTGTGATAAAAGCCAGGGGTGCACGGGGAGGCTGTATTTCTGAAGCTCCTAATTTATTTCTGTTGCTGCAGCACAAGACGGCCCTGATCTCAGCTGGGATATCTGACACACGAGATACCAGACTGCCAAACAGGCAGAAGAAAGGCAGCAGCATTATCCGGGTTTTACATGTGGGGATCTGAGCACAGAAAAGAGCAAGCAAGTTGCCCAAGGTCAGAGAGGGAGCCTGAGTCAGAGTTTGCTTTGCTGAGGCCCAGAGCTTGGCAAAAAGACCCGTGCTGCAGACTGGCTGCACGACCTTGTTGCAGGCCTCTCCAGAAGTGGCTCTGAGCCCACCTGCAACAGGAGCACGATGGCTCTTCACTGCCCTGCATGGGGGTATCCCAAGCCTGGTGTTTGCCTAGCGTGAGTTTCTGTAGGAGAGAAAAAATATAGAGGAAAATTATTTAAAAATGAGAAGAACGCAAATTCTGAACCAAATCCTAGAACGGACTAATGTGCTAATTACAACACTTGGACAAAATGGTAGCTGCTTTCTTGGTTCTCCTTGGAATTATTTCCAGGCCTGGGAGGGCAGTTATTTGATGGATCCCATTGACTCCCCTCCTCACTGCTGCAAGTTAGGAGGCACGGCCAGCTGAGGAGCATGTTGCCTTCCTCCGCAGTCACAGCCAAGGGTCCCCAGATGGCTCCAAGCCCTGCTTGCCCTAGATCGTGGACCTACATTTTTGCTCTTCCCTCAAGCACAATCTGCTAGGGAAGATGAAGGAATAACCTCAGCACAAATCTGGTGATTGCACACCTTCCACAAGCCCACTAGCAGCTTTTGCATCACCAGCAAATGTCTCCCAACTCTAATCTACAATATGAGAAAATTAAGCAGCAGCAGCTTCTTTTAGTTTATAGCTCATAAGAGGCTTCTTGCTACCTCTAATGAAAAAAAAAAAAAAAAAAAAAAAAAAGTAGGATTGCTCTCATTTTCCTGCCCTCCATCATCTTGTGCTCTTTCCACCTTGCTCAGCCACTTGAGAGTTGCTTAAAAAGGTAACTGCACTGCCTTCTAATTTGCCTGCCAGCATATTGTTTGCTTCAATCACACAGTATTAGACAAAAGCAAATCCAACTCTCAGACATCAAATCATGCAAACCTGCCCTATGAACCCACTTTTGCCTAACCCTGCAGAATTGCCTGGTATTTATTTCTCCCAGACCATAGCAAGGATCTTAGACCCATACAATTCCCCACCAGAGGTAAGTCCCTGGAGGGCAGGGGCTGCAGAGTAAATCACGCTATGACAAACGTCTCCCAGCCCCGAGCTCCACCTCCACAGTCACCCAGCATCTTGCAATCTATTCCAGAGGAAACGAGGACACCAAATACAGCGGGGAAGTGGAGCTTCCTTACGGGAAGACGAAGGCCATGGCAGAAAAACTTGTATTTGAAGCCAATGGAAAAAAGGTACAAAAATCAATGGTAGCACCCCTGGTGTTGCAGCACAGGATGAGTGGGAGGAGACAGATGGTTAGAAAGGTCCCACAGCTCATATCCAACTGCTTCCTCGACTGGATATGCATACCAAAATCCCCAGAGTTTACCAAAGGCTGAGCCTGCCTGCCAAGCACTTGCAAGATCAAAGAGTGCTGCCCTTCATGCCTATGCTTAAACTCCACCAAAAGGAGCGGGGCTTTGAAAAGCACTGTGTAAACTTAAGACCTACAAAACCAGGTTCACCTGGTTCATACTGCACATAACAATGTGTTTTCAGACATGCCTGAGTGATTTAACAGTATTTATTATTTAATATTACCCAGACCCAGCCACCTACCTAAGTTGGCTGCCTAGTTGTTTCGGACTCCCAGTAGTCAGCACACAGATGAGTCCTTCTAGAGGATGAAGCAGAACATAAAAATGCAACTTCTGTCCTGCCTGGAGCAGCTCTCTCTCCTGGTTACAGTTTGAGGTCAGCCCAGTTTTGGTTGTTGCAAATATTCCTTCACACCTCAGCTGCAGAAGGAGTTAATGCTGTTAGCACCCTCCACCTGAACTTTCTGAGTGAACACCACCCATATGCAGGTGTGCTTTGTTAAAAATAAATAAAATCAAGTGGGCACCTCATTGCATTTCTAAGGATCCAAACCAGGCCCTAGCTGTCCAGCCAAAGTTTGTAAAGGTTGACTCCTCTAGCCCAATTTCCCCAAGATTTTTGGTTTCATCTGACACACACAACATCACTGTGGAAGGTTTTAGCTCTGAATCCATTGCTCACTAACATCCCTCCCTGATATTTCAGCTGAGCAATGGTGGCAAACTCACAACCTGCATCATCCGTGCGAACACAGTATATGGGGAGAAGGCAACATTTCTGCGAGACCTGTATTTGTTTGCCAAAGCCAGGAATGATGTGTTGAACTACCTGGAGCCTGAAAACACCGAGCGCAATTCCACGTATGTGGGTGAGTGACTGATCTCTCTGCTTGTGGTGCTGCCTGGCTGTTCTGGTCCCAGGAGATCTTCCATTGCAGCTTACCCATAACTCCTGATGACAGAAAGATGAGTATGGGGATTGAACACAAATATTTTTATAACCACAAAGCTTGGTCTTGCTAAAAGAATTTTTAATATAGATGTTTACATTTTTAATATTTTTTTTTCTTGCGAAGGGCTTTCTTTTTTTTCTTCCCCTCAATGTAGGGAAAAATGTTTAGAAAAAAAAATAGCAGAAAAGAATAATAGGAACTTTTTTTTGGTAACCTTTCAATGATTTTATTGGGGAAGACAGAAATTCGGGAATATTTTAAAAATGTTTTTGTTGTTTGAAAAGACATATTTTCATTACAAGAAATTACATTAACTATTTATAACTTAGGAAAAACATTCCTTGGAAAAAAAATAAAAAGACTGTAATACATAAGTGATTCTTGCAAGCACGAAAGACTACACATGAAACCTATTGAAATAGTTTGTTGTGGTGTTGAATGCGTTACAGGGGAGTGTAACTCACCATTAAATCATGCAGGGCTTTAGTTATTTCTGTGCAGCTCACTTATATGTCTTTTTCCAAAAGTGCAGATAACAGTAGTTTGAAAATGCTGTAATGGAAGAACCAGGCCTAGATAAATCAAGTGACTTCTTCAAAGGCTCTCAGCAGAGCCAGGAATAAAACCCTCAAGCTCTGCCTCCCATTCATCCTGCTCTCACTACAAAACACTGCCCTTTCGCTTCGCGTGAACCGGTATCACAAGGAACATTAATTGTCCAGCACAAAGGGGAGACCAAAGGTTTAAAGGCTCTTGGAGGTCTGGATTAACTACTCTGTCTCTCGGCAGTACAGCTGAGTAACACGATGAGTGCTTTCCCTGTTTCGCAGCACCGAAGAAGGCAGACCCAATGCACTCATTCATTTTAAGAGGAAACAGGCAAATCTAGCTCCTCCTGAATGCCTGTCTCTCTCCCCCTCTTATTTCTCCAGGGAATGTTGCATGGATGCATGTTCTTGCAGCAAGGCACCTGCAGCTGAGACCAGACTTACTCGCCGGTCAAGTGTATTATTGCTATGATGACACTCCAAGAAAAGGTTTTCTGGTCAGGCATCAGATCCTGTCTTCTATGGACCCCTCAATAAGGCTGGGCTCGCACATCCCTTACTGGAAGATGTGGTTGATAATACACCTGCACAGGATAATCAAGGTCCTCTTGTACCCTTTCTGGAAGCCGCAGCCGTTCCTAAACTTGCCTTTACTGAACACAATAGTCACCACCTTCTCCTATGAGACGGACAAAGCCTTCAGGCACTTTGGGTACAAACCCCTCTTCACCTGGCAGGAGAGCAAGCAGAGAACGGCGCAGTGGCTGAAAGCAGCTGCAGGGAACCTATCCTGTCCCCCATCTTCACGAGAAGGAGAATTAAAGCAGCACATTTGGGTAAAGAGAGAGCGAGCTCATTGCTGAACTTCACAACACGCTGTGGTCTCAGGCAGCTGGTGGGATGGCTGTAACCGACTCACACACTCAAGGGGTCTTCCCTGATAGTTTCTGGAAGAGCAAGGAAACCCAGCAAGTTCTTGCTCTGTTTTAGGGCTTGATGGAAAAGAGGTAGCTCTGGAAAGAGAAAAATGCTACCTCTTTTTAAGATTATTCCTGTTATTATTAACATATGAATGATTATATCTGTTTTGAAATGTTATTCCTATAAAATAAGCCTGCAGTCTCTTGTACTGACAATGAATAGCCTACCTTACATCCTAACCATGTGCCTGGACATCTGACCAAGCTTAGAGGTGGTTACACATAGGTTGTAACTCAAATTCTCCTACCTTGTAGCACTGTAGCAGCAAAACAAGTTAAAGGCCGTGTTCAGCTGCTGCACAGAAGGCAGACAGCAACTTGGGTGAAAGCCTCAGGGGCTGCATTTATGCTAAATAACGCCTGAACTTTGGGCAGAAGAGTGCATCTGAACTCATTCTGTGGCACTGGAGCTACAGTCTGTGGGGGAACAATATTTCAGAGATATTTTCTTAGCACAGATGGGGTGGGCACTTACAGAGGATTCACAACAAAAGCAAAGCCTGCGGTCGGATCAGTTTGCCAGTTCCTCTACCTGTAAGGCATGCAGAGGGGCTGACAGACCTACATTAAGCACAACAGATTTCAGTTTTCACCTGAGCTTGGAGGAATGGGCTATTTTTACAATACTGGTTAAAATTTAAAATTAGTTTTGTTGTTTTGAGAATGTTTGAAGTATTCCTGTAGTCTGTGAACATGTAACCACCTCCTGAGTTTTCCTACAGTTACAATGTACATATGCACAAATAAAAGCTTATTTTAATTACTTCCCTAATCCTCCTGGAAAAAGCAAGTTTCAGCATGATATCTTTGATAGAAATGATCAAGATTTGCTTCTTGTTAGTCATAGCAATTACTCAGGAAGGAAAGCGAAGCGATACCGTGTGAGCTGCCAAGTTAACTTCACCGAAATTCATACTCACAAGAGAATTCTTGGGAAAATGAGCTCACAGATCTCAAATCATTTGCTCAGGTAATTCATGAATAATTTCAAATGACAAATAAATTTAGGGCAAACAATCTGTTCATAGAGAATGTGGGAAGCTGAACTGTGTAAGTTACCAGCTCCCTACTTTTTTACTCAATCCTTTGCGCTGGGAAGTTTTTCAGAAAGGGAGTAACAAGATTGCTGGGTTTTCTATTTCATTAACAATTAGCTGGGCAGCTTCCTGCTATAATTTAAATGGTAAATGACAGCTTGCTAAGAATTTGACAAAGAAATATATACCCAATTTCTCATGTGTGTTGCCAGAGCATCGCTGCAGTATGACAACGTCGACTGCAACAGGTTTTGATGCTTCTGAAGCCTTGTTTTTATCTTGCCAAAAAAGAGCCACTGGGTGGAGCTGCAAGTCTGTGAGACAGGTACCTTCGCCGTGTGATTTCGAGTGTTGCAACAGCTTTGGCTTGAGCTATTTTAAAAAAGAATCCGAAGACCTACCCAGAAAGCAAGGCTGACGGATGGGCTGGGGGTACCTGATCATCCAGGTTTGTCCTCAGTTTGTGGCATTTGGAGTTTTGGACTTCCCTCTGCTGCCTGGATGCATTCATCTTTTTATCCTCGTATAGGTGTATCATCAAAGAGACCAAGAAAATTATTTTTCCACTGGTAACTCAGAAAAGAATAAAAGTTTGCTTTTTATTACAAAATATAATGAAATATGGTACTCTGACCTTCGAGAAAACTTGGCTAAGTACAAGAGCTGATGCTGTCAGTCCCATTTGGAGCCATTGCTTTATTCCTTTGTGGGCTCTGGAGTTACTGAAGGTACTGAGTGGTGTAACTGCCAAGCCCCAATACTACCCTAGAGACCAATGTATGCTCGCCTCCTTTCAGAAACCTCTCTGGGAACCTTATCATGCTTTTCTTCCTATCCTGCTCATCATCACCTATGATTTTGATGCTTAGCAGGATACAGATGACACACAGGATAAGGAACAGGCATTTTTAAAGGTAGTTAATGGCAGCATTTTTCAAAAGGACTTGAATAATTTACCTACTTAGCTTTTTTTTACACCTACCCACCTCCCAAGCTTTGACAAAAGCAAGCAGAGGATTCCCTTTCCCTGCACATAGTAGAAGTGGGGGAAAAAGTTAGACAGCAAAGCCTCTGTACTGTTTTCCAAAAAGATGAGTAAGCTTCCTTTGGCTGCACTGCAGTTTGGCTCCTCCAAGCTAATGCTGCTGCAGACTTCCTGTTAGATCCTTGATTTTATCAGATTATAACTTGTTTTCTCCTGGCAGTGCTTTAATTCTTTCTACTGCACTGGGTTGTCATTGGCTTTTCTTTTCAGGGTCCCAGCCCTATTATGTAACAGCAGCAGAAGTAGGAAAAAAAAATAAAAAGAGGAAAAAAAAATATTTCAGATCTGTTTCTACTTCTGGAAAGGAGCCTTTGTGCACAATTACTCATCCAAGAGATTCAGCAGGTATAACTGCTTCCCCCAGGGGCTCCATTATATAATTGGATTTCAGCCATACAAATTAAATCCTATCTTACCCCTTAGTTAAGCCAGGCAGTAAGTATTTAATGCTAATATCCCTGACAACTATTGCAGGGAGAAGCAGAGATGAAGCACAGAGGAGACAGATGCATGCTTCTCTGCTGGAGGAGCAGGGAGGATGAGCAGGGAGTGCACTGACAGAAAGGCACCTGCTATTTTTTAAAGCTGGCTAAACTTCCCCAGCGCGAGCCATGGCGTCTGCTGGCGGAGTTGTCTGAGCTGGAACGTGGTTTTTCCTCCGTTTTCCGCCTGCCGATGTTCCCATGTGCGTACTGAGCGTTCATCCCCCCAACACACACACACACACTTCAAAGAGCCGCATGCCTAACCCTGTTTGAGTTTCTATGGAAGTCTCTGTTCTTGTGCAACGTCTGAAAGAAGCAAGTTTAGTAACATTAAAACTCAAGCCAAACACACAAACAAGCAAAGAATTCCCAAATTAAAAAGAAAATCTTAACCGAGTTACTCATTCATCTGCATTTTCTATTGCGCTCTGTCTTCTCCGGGCATGTTTCTTTTAGACAAAGCCCTCTGGGCAGAGACCATCTCTTTTGGTGTCTGGTACATCAGTCACATAGTTAGTACATAGTAATAAAGGAAAATAGATTCATGGTAGGAGTTAAACCAGTCAGTCTGGTACCGTAATTGGAACATAATCTCATATTGACAGTATTTAACACAGGATGCGCTGGGAACAGATGGCAGCACGCCAGGCCTCAATCGTTCAGCAAATATTGGAAAGATATTTTCCAAGTCCAGCTTCTCAACCTCATCTCTGATATCGGAAGCTTCGCTTTCCCCAACGGGACTAGATATACTCACTAATCCTGGAAAAAGCCCGGTGCACCGTGTGCTTCTGAGCTTGCAGGCAATTTGGCTAGCAGAGTTTCTGCTGGTAACTATCTTACGAATGTTTAGAGAGAGATTTGAAAAAGCACCGAGGGCAAAAGACATCCATTGGTACACACTTGCACGCCTTCCCCTTGCAGACAGAGACCATCGTACCCATGACACAAGGCACGAACCCACGTGCACTTCCTGAGCCAGGGATACCCACCAGCATGCCGGTCTGCCTTGCCTTTCATCTCTCAGACCTTCAGTCTTACAATTAACTCACCAGGGACACAATAGCAGTACAGAGCTGTTCCCTTCCATAAGCCTAAAACGCTGAGCAAAGGAAGGGGAAAGGAGAGGGAGCCCAGTTATGGCCGAGACGCATCCTGCAGTATGGAGCACGACACTGTGATTGCAGGAATAAACTCAGCTTTCCAAGGGTACGGGAGAAGTATACCTTGCTTTCTGTATTTGCTACAGAAAGTTTAAATTGATTTTTCTCTATTTCAGCAATTAATTTCCATTAATCAGGTTACTGTACAATGCTTCACTATAATTCACAAGTTTTATGTATTATATGAATAAAATTGCACATATATTTTTATGTGATTTTCATTTAATTGAATTCCAAGGAGATTTATCTCCTGGGTTATTAATAAATCTTAATATGGCCTATAACACTCAATTGATATTTAATTAACCTGCAATAACTGCCTTGTAAAATGTAAATTAAATGCTTTATTTTTTCAGGCATATAACGTTAAATCAAATTCTTAATTCTACCAGCAAAGCAAAAAGGAGTGGGGGAAAAACAAGACTCCAGGCCACAGAACCTTAGACCTGAAAATATTTGATGTTTAAAAGAGGTCCAACGTGGAAACTGGATCCACGTTTTACTCCAGTTCCTCTCCCAAGGAAGTGCTTCTTCACTGTCTCACCACCTTCAAAGGTCACAAGAATCTGGGTGGATTTAGATAAAACATCAAAATCTCAGGAGACTTTAAGAGAAGAGAGAGAAGCCCATTATTAATAATAAGTTTGCAAATTCCCATAAGTATTGTGGTATTTGGCATTTTTCTTAAAGTCTTGGCTCTTAGAGTCACATTATCAAACGAGAATGTCAATTTTCATTTAAAAATAAAATAGGAAAGACGTTAAAGCCCTTTGATAGGGGGAAAAGTTTGCAAACCTGAATGTCAAAGGCATGAGAACTAAGAGACAAAAATACATAAAATTTGATCCTTATCTTTAAAAGTACCAGAACTTTTTGAGAGACTTGAGATGTTTGAAAACTGGGAGGTGGCAACAAATGATCAAAACAGCATTTACAAGAGAAGATGAGAACAGTCCAAATTATATTTTAAGATCAAACTGTTCTCCTCCCCCTCCCCTAGCAATTTACATAGATCTACATTAAATACTGCAAACTGCATCAACAACTATTTCTGATTTCAAAACTAGGATAGCTAGCTACCTCTGCAAAGTGATTTGAAAACTTCAGGTGACTGTGACTGTCTAAAATTGATAGGCCTATAAAGTTTTACTGCGATAGCATGTAAACTTAGGATATCTTTCTTTTTTAATGTACAGAGTAGCTAATCTGTCTTCCAATATTTTATTAAATAGGGTATTTCCACCAAAGGACAGTATCCCTCACCATCCGTAATCTGTCTGCATTAGATCACTTTAAAGGGTATTAAATGAAAATCAAAAGTTAAATGTACCGTGGATTTTAAAGGTGTCACAGCAAGGAAGAATAAAAATGAAAAGAATGGATTCTGACTTGCAACAACTGAACAGAAATAAATCCAGATCTTTGGTAATGGAAAGCTTGTCCTCGCTTCCGTTCGTCCTCTCCAGTCACTCAGTCACCACCCTGCTTGCACAAACGACACCAGTGAGCCCCACTCAGGCAAACCCAGTGCAGTATTTCTGCCCAAGAACTCACGAGGCTGATGGATTCCTTGTAGGGCCCCAGCAGCAGGAGGGTACGTGATCCTGCCACCCCTTAGTTACTCAAGGGCTTGCGTGAATTACATTGCCTAGAAAAGCAGTGCTGACTAGCCCAAATTCTGCCACTCTCACACTTTGCAGTAGCTTTGCTGCTTCAGAAGAGGAGTACCTGGAGCAGGGAGTCAGCAGATGCAAGTGGCCTCATGCTCGCAGTAATTGACTGGAATTTTGCAGACCTGGGTTTAATCCCCAGCTCCAGCATGGACTCATGGGGTAATTTACGGCAGGTTTCTTCCTCTCTCTCTGCATTTTATGATTTTGGCAATTGATCAAAATTAGCCTCTTCTCCTTCTCTTACCTTTCATCTTTTTAATGGAGGAGAACACATCCCATGAACGTGCTGCGTCGCATCTGCTGTCAGCCATGGCTTGGGGGGAGCTGAGCCCAGCATGAGCCTGCAGACCACAGCTCCTTCCCAGCACTCGCCTTTTACTCTACTGGATAAACATTGACACGGTAGATTTTTTTTCTTTCCCCCAAAGTGGGTTTCTAATTGAGCTGAATCTAACACAACCTTCATTAAAGGCTGCCCATGACTGACAGTTTGAATTTACTTGGGTAGCACTTTTTCTCAGGCCAAGGTCGCCTGGGAGCTGCACCAGGAAGAGCCAGAGTCCCATCTACCCACAGACTACTTCTAACGATGCTCCCGGGGATTTAATCGCTAACAACAGGAACAAATGTAATGCATCAAAAATCAGGAGGCTGCAAATTCTCAGAAGTGCTCAGGACTTAAGACCTGACTGGCTCCCCACAAAAATGTTACCACCTAAATTGTTCCCACCTGCTCTGCCCATCAGACAACAATTCACCTGGCTACCTTGTAGGCACACTCCAGTCTAGTCCTAGCCCTAAACCCATTTATGATTGTACCACGCTCCTCGTAAATCCTAGCTCAGATCTCCTTTCCTCTGAGAAGCACGTCTGGCTAACGATTCCTGACATTTCCACGACGCTTAAAGTCACCTTTTGTACAGGGCTTCTGAAGCAACAGCCTCAGTGGGAACAGAGGGAACTCACCTGCTCTGGCTAGTAGCAAACCTGATGCACAGTCAGCAAGTAAGTGAGAAGTAAAGTGTCTACAGTCCTGCTGCTGCTGACACCGCCAGGAGTAATCCCACTTACACGGGGATAGGTCCTGAAGATGGGGGGATCCTTAACACAAGACAGACACAGCACTTGCAAGCTCTGCCTTTCTCAAAAATCACATCTGGAAATGAGCAATTGAGCAAGAACCAGCCCCATGAGACACATCTAAATCAGCCCATCTTAATATTGGGCACATGCTCTTAACTTGTACGTTGCTGTGCATTCAGATGATTAATGGTTCAATATAAAACTCACATAGCATTGTGCAGTGGTACCGGAGCACATCACCTAGATCAATACGCACGCCTTGCCCCAGGAGAAGATTTGGGGTTTTTAAACCAATGAGAATTAGGTGCCTGATTTCTATTACATTTCAAAGGGATTTAGAAGCTCTGCTCTCTCTCAGAAACCTCACCAGGCTACCTTAGAGGCTGCGCACATGCTTGACATGACACCAGATAATGTTTGTGGGCTACGGCATAAATGGGGATTACTGCCTCTGAAAAGGAGGACTTGCTGAAGCGGCTGTGGTTTAACGAAGGATTTGAAAGAGGAGAGAAGCACAGAGGGAAGCTGTTCTAGACAATAAGTCACATAAGAGAAGGCTTAAAAACAGAGCAGGAGGAAATGAAGGGATCTGAAAAGGAAGGGATTTGGGATAAATGATAGGAAAAGGAGGAGAAACGTCAGCTAGCAGCAAGATTACACAGGGCAACGTGCAAGCTCCTTCAGCCCTCCTTCACGGGGTGATTGGGGTGGTGGAAAAGGCAGCACTGCACCAGCAGGCTCCTGGGCCAGCTGCAGGACAAAGCTGGCTGACCACAGCCACGGTGTGAATAGAGGGAATTTGGTGAAATCACAACATGGTGGTAACTTGTGACAGCCAACCCCAGCAGCTACTGGGATCAGAATACAGCCGGTGGGCATCCCAGCAGAGGCTGAACACTGCAGCATAGCTCAGGAGGGGAATGGTGTGGGGAGGAGCAGGCAGCTGAGCGATGGCGTGGCTGCACCCCGACGCGGCGCTGGCGGAGTGTAATGGTGCAATGTTCAGTCACCAGGCTGAATTAAACAGGACTGGCTCTGTTCGTGGATTTTCCTGCACTAGTTTGCACTGGTTATCACAGATAAGCCACGTTAATGCAACTCTGTTATGATGTTGGGAAACCTCAGTAATGGAAATTAACTGCTCTGTATGGACGGATGAATGGAAGTTACACAACCACTGACCTATTTCCGAGAAGCATGGCAATGTTGAGTGAGAGCAGCCAAACTTAATAGCTGCTATCAAAATCAAGGAAAGGACTTCCATTCAAAAGCTAACCAGGAGAAAAGCAAGAACTTGGTGGAGTTGCACAACCACAGCAGCTCTGGACTCACACCAACAACAGTAACTCCGATGTCGGAACAATGTACGGGCTTAGTGATTTGACACGCAGCCAAGGTGCTTACAAAATACCTCCAAACAGTTAATGCAAATCCATATTACTAGGTCTATTAATGGCTTGTCATTGCCTGTCCGTAGATCACTATTTTGCGCCAGTAAGCTCTATAGTTCCTTAATTCTAGTAATGTTATCCTTAACTGACATTTCAGGCACTGGTGGCTTTCCATAAGGACCTGCAAAAGCCCAAAATCAAGAAGACCAAGATCCTTTCTACCCCCCAAATCACCATAAGGTCAGAATCATCTTTCCCCCACCCTCTGACCTCAGTTTTCTCTTTGGTAAAATAGGGACGAGGTCTTGTACTTTCACTGTAGCCACAGGGCATCTGTGTCCAAGTGTTTTCAGACCTGGGCGTGAGCTGAGTATCCGAAGCATTACCTGTTATTTTGATTTTCTTACTGCCTCAATTAAAATTTTGAAGTCATTTACAGCTGGTTTTAAATGTGTGCAGGACTTACCGAAACTTGGTATTTCTGCCCCATTTGCAGAGGACTTGGCAGGGTGGACAGAAGGACTACACTTCCCTTGCCTCGTTCCCCTTGTCTGTTAAAGTGAAACCTAAAATGCTCCCCTCCATTTTGGATCAATGTCACATAACCTCATTTCCTCAGCTTAAGAAAAAGCCTTAGATTTTATATGTTGCACTAAAATATGTCAGCACCGTTAGGTTAATAAACAGTGCTAAATCAAAACCAGGCTCCAGTTCGTAGATCATGTGAGCTATGTCAAACACAGGGAGTGATACCATAGAAGAGATGTAATGGACAGCCTCCTTAGCCTGGTTTTTATGGCTGTGAAAGAGAAAAACCTGGTGTTCAGCCACTTTTCATTCACCAGAGGCTGTCACACAATCTCTCACAGCTTTTTGGGTTATGTTTATTTTTCCTGGGGTTCCCAAGAGCCTTACCTTCTGATCCCCTTGCAAAACCTCCTGTGTGACTACCTAGAGGACTAACCCGAGTTACAGCCAAAACTTGAAGCTTTTACTGCCCATTAGACCAGCTCCTTACCTGATAAATCAGAATATCCCCCGCCAATTTACACCCAGAGGAAAT